TGTGTATTTATCGAATGAAACAGACGGGACAGAAAATAAAATTGATATATTCGATTAAGACAAATATATTCGATTAAGATGTGTGATAATTGAAAAATGTTTATATATGTATTAAAAAAGTGAAATATGTATAGAAGAGATAAACTAAAGGCATGATAAAACCGGTTTACCGACCAGCGAACGGAAACCATTGAATTCACTGGCGCCAACTAATCCGTTTGAAGTACTCTTCAGCAAGTGCTGCTTTCTTTTACCGCCGTCGATGCCTTTCCTGATGCAAAACATTGCCGGAAGAGCACACTCTTGACTAGGTACTTGATGCGTAACTTTCTTGTCATGGCCAAGAACAGACGTTACACACACACTTTAGTAGCCGCGAGTAGCAACTTGGGCAGGAAATGATAAACATTATGCGCGCGTACATTATAATAAAAATTGATACGTGGAAACGGACAGTTTATCCATCGAATTTTATGAGATTAGTAACAAAGCGCGCGAAGAGAACATTTTTCTTCTTATATTTTTTACTTTCTCCTCCGCCCTAAAGTTGTATGAAAGGAACTGCTTTAAAAAAGGCAGCGTCTACAAGTCTAATTGTTATTCAAAAGCTGGGATCTTCGAAGCTATTTTTCTACGTTCGCTTTTGCTTTACGCAGTTCGATAGTAGCTATAATGCGGCTAAGGTTGGCCACTCATGAATACATTATCCTTTCTAACGAGGTGAATAGGTCAAGTAGATGGAGTCGCAGCGTTCTGTCCATAAATCACTTAAAGGGCAAGCGAAATCACCCCATGCGCACAAGCCGGTTCGACTTCTCGTGCATCTGCTTCCGCTTTTTGTTTCGTGGCGTGGTAGCGACGCGACGGAAGGAACATGCCGCTGGTTCTTTTATTCAACTTGTCGCAGAATTATCGTCGTTCTAGTGGGTTCTTTTTTTTTTTTTTTTTTTATCGTTCTCATCGTATTCACGCGGGATATCGCGTGTCGCATGCCATCAATAGCCGTTCGTGCGATGGAAAAGCGATAATAACTCGCGACATGCGAATCGGAGATATCGTTTACGTATTTTGCTATTTTCGCGGTACTTCCATAGAGGAAATTCAAATCCACCTGATATAATAACAGTTACACGCTTCACCGTCCGTAAAGCCGGCATATAAACGCTATCCAGCCAGAAATCAATTTTATGACGTAATTTAAATAATTTAAGTTTCCAGGGGACAGTAAATTGTCATCAATTGTCATCGGGAAATCGATGCTTTTATCACGCGATCGTTTGTTATATTGCAAATGATTTATTTCAATGTAGCAACGGTGATTAAGGTTGTGCTTACACTGGAAATGCGAGTGCGCTAATATTGATTCGCCGTAACACGACAGAGAGACGATGACGACCATAATTTATAATTCTCAGCGGAGCATTTGACTGAACATTATTAATTTACGCAGTCGGTTGAACATTAGGTGAATTTACATACAGTCGTACATTATACATCTGCACGTAGTAATTTTGCACACGATAAAGCATTGTCGTAGAAAGATTCTTATAATATAAATTTTATGCAAATATTCCATGGTACGAATTCTTGAATCGCGAAATCTCGGCAAATTATGAAGAACAATTTTATGAAGGGCAATTTATTTGTAATCAGTTTACAAAGTTATCGTTAGTTTAAATATTAATAAAGAATAACAAAAACAGGAGACATCAATTTATACATTATAATAAGCCACATATTTTTTATATCGTTGAGTAAACATTTTGCATAATATATTTAATTACCATTTTATGAATTAATGAATTAACGATTTTAAATTTCCAATTCAATTATTCGACGTGAAATTTTAAACGATACTTTTTATGCTTGTATTCGATATAATGAGCATCAAAATGTATTTTATATATGAAATCACATTTTAAATCAACGTTATGCGTATATTGGAGTATATAAATAAGAGATGTGATATTAAAAAAATATATTAAAATAAAAAAATGTATGGAGTATATATTTCGCAAAATCGTCTGCTAATTAACTGGAACGTTGTGGTACAGTGATGGTATTAATAAATACGAGAATCTTACTTTTTGTAAGAAACGATTTGCTGTATTTCAGTTTTGAAAAGAATCAAACTCTTGAGTAACATAGAATAAAACAATGATAGAATAACGACAAGTTGATGTAGATAATGACACTGACGCGTGCCAAGTGTAAATACAAAGCTTTGTAACCACATATAAAAATCAGAAATACATAGAGTCAACGTAAGAATTAGAATTGTGAGCAAATTCCTCGACATTCGCAATGTCCTTCGATTGTAACTACCAACGTTGCATTATAATAAAGCTATTTACAAATTACAATAATAATCGTAATCCTCATAATAATCGTAATTCACTTCACTCCTCAATATGTCATGTACATACGTAAAGTTCGATGCGCTACGTAATATCGACAATATATCGATAGTTACTAAAACTTTGGTTACGCAAAAATAGACGCAGATATATATATATATATATATATTCATATGTATATGTATTTATATACGTATGGATATATGTATATCCGAACTATATTCGCCTCCTTATTAGGGATTTGTTAGAGTTTATATACCTATAAACAAATGTACAATAATTACAAGGGAAGTAGGACATTGATATAATTTATAAATAGTACATATATAGTGATACATTATATCAATTATTTATTTCCCACAATCGCAAAAACGGAGAATACTTCAGTCGAAAGTGATGAAAACTAAATTTGTTGCACTGCAGTTCCGATCAATGTCGAATGAATAAAATGTTAAAAAATATTCCATACATTCATTTATTTGGTATTCAAATATTTATTTGTGCCTGTGAATGCCAAGCAAAAGTACAATGATTGCTTCAAACAAAGATTGTTACGCAACACATGTTTTGAAACAATTAATCGTATTTTTTTTAACAAAAAAAAAACAGAAATATTACTAAATATTACTAAAATATTATTAAATATTGGCGCGTTAAAAAGAAAATATCTCCTATAAAATATACGAATAAAAAATAATATTAAGATTTTGGAAATCCAAATCACGTATGAAAGATTGATAACTCGCAATAATAATACTAATAACAATAGAATTCAAACATAATTTAAACAATAAATAAATTCCGCGTTGAAATATGGAATGTATTTTATACATTCTTCTTTTTTTATGTGTTCAAACGTAACGTAAACGTAAGAAAACCTCGTTATTACGAAGTTTGTTTTGCACAAAATTATCGCAATGATTTTTAAATAGTAGATTTTTCGTTTCCCCAAACGATTAAAGTAAAACCCGTGACAAAATGTATGTTTATCTGGTTACGACGATTACTTTCGTTCGAAATAAAATCCCCGTAATTGCGCGTTCATTAACAAATTCTAGTCACACATATTCGCACGCGTATAATCTCTTTTCGCGGAGGCTCATCGCATTCTCTCCCTCTCTTTCTCTCGCAACTTTCTCACTCGGAAATCACAGTTAAACATTGGTTTTTCGACGTTTGGTGTGGCACTCGTCATCCGATACTGAGATGTACGTCCGACAGAGCAGATGGACAGAGAACGAATAAACTATCGAAAAATTTACTCTCTCGCGCGTCATGAAACTTTTAATCGTAAATTAAAATCTTGTCAGCTCTCTGAAAGAGTTTATTAGTTTAATAGCACTGTTAAATTGCACACATCCAAAGGTACGGCCTGTCCGACGCACTGCCGTTTAATGCGGGCTTTCGTCATAAATTCGTCGCTTCTGATCTAAGCTGATACGTGAGTGATCCATTCTCGATGCTTTCAGCAGTAAATATAAGAGAATTACAAGTCTGAAAGATAGTACCGAATAGCAGACGAAAGCAGCCAACTCGGCAACGTTCGCATTAAGCGTTTAACCCTCGAACAGCGGAATGTTTACAGTCGCATGAAACGCGGTATCTGAGTCTATGATGTAAGAAGACATGGTGTCATTCCCGAGGATGAGCCATGCAGTTAAGAGAGAGTGCATAGAGGCCAAAATTTGATTGATTGCTTCCAGTATTGCATTATGCGCAATGGTACATCTTGTATTCTTACATCACGCCCGAGTCCTTCCACTTAATCGTAGTACAAGTTTCTCCACTTTAAATATCCCCTTCATATTTTGATTTTATTGTAAAATTAAACTACTTTGCTGCAAAATAAACGAATATTATATAATTATCGGATAGGAAAATAAAATAAAATAAACGGCTTTAAGACTATATAAAAAATAATTCTAATATTGTTCTATACAATTTATTCTAAAAATGAATGAATTTTTAATGAATAAATTCATTCGTTGCTTCCCAATGCATTATCAATACTGCTGAACGAGGGCTAATCGTCCTAAAAGTATTTCAAATGCAACGACAAGATTGAATCATTACTCTTGCAAAGCTGAGGTAGGCATACGCGATAACGACGGTGTCTTATCTTTTCGAGAATAGAAGATGAAAAGACATGTGATACAACACTTTTTCCCGAAACAGCACTCGCAGAGTAGAGTGCTTCGATACCATTGAGTTCTATTTAAAAAGAATTAATATTTATTGAAATATTTTAATATCTAAAATAGAAAATATATCGAGTCTGTCCGCGGCAACATCGAAACAGTAATGATTCGCACCTAAGGATAATTAGAAGATGTTTCAAGTGCATATTACTTTCAAATTCTGTATTAGATTTTCAATCATACGATAAAAAAAAGCTTAGCGTACAGTTTGCGGAAGACGCACCGAGTATACTCGGATCGTTTAAACTTGGAGAAAAAGACATAGTGATGGCAACCGTAGGTTTGATAATTATACAAGTTTTATACGTAAAATTAATACGCACAGTTGTGTGAAAAAAC